TAAAATACCTCGCCCCTAGTCTGTTTCAAAAGGTAAACGCGCTGATCCACAAGTAGCGAAAGCCTTGAGATAAAAGGAATGTTAAAAATTCCAGTACAGAACCAGTCGAGAACCAATACAGTAGTAGTATCTTTCTCCAACGTCAAGAGTTTTTGCCGTTTTGCATAGGTGACTGAGTAAAATATCTTTTTCGAGTTTTCCTTTACCGCTTTAGTAACTTACAAGCATTTCCCTAAAGTTACAATTTATGGCAGTGAGAGTTGAAGAAACCTACCTGGAGAATGCGGCCGTTACAAAGTTTGTTTCTCTGATTCAAACACATTTCACTACTGAATAAACGATTAAATTCCTTTAGTGTATGTGATCTCTCTTCATATTATACTCTTCTTCAATGGTAGAAACAGAAAGGATGCAAGATAGAACACAAGGGGATAAATTGAACAAAGGGGCTGGAAAGGAAACAAAAAATTGTCAAGATATCGTTAACAGTTTAACCATCGATTTTAATCAGTATCGCCTGAGTGGAAAACGATTGCCACCGTTGCCTTAACATTTGAGTAGCTTTTCACATGTTTTTGACCCACGTTCAGAGCGCTGCCTTTCTTTATACTAGTATCCTCAATAATCACGATCTATCATCGTAATTCGTTCGATACTATTCTTTTTCTTTATAAGTCTTCTCGTAAATTAGTAAATAGTTGTTAAAATTTAAAACACTATGATCTGTGTAAACCTAATTTTTGTATGTTGTTTTATACGACTTTTGCTGTTACTATAAGAGGTTGCTTTAAGAGACATTTTTTTTGAAAACTGCTTACCTTATAGCTTGGCTACTTGACTACCGCCATCAATTCAGTTTCTTCTACGGAAAAAAAGGAAAATAATATCTTTTGTCCAGCGCGCCTGTTTGGTCGACAACTTCGCGGCACCTATTTCTATCTACAATCACCGTTTGAAAAATTCAATAAACCGTTCAAGTGCTCGATTAGAAACAATTTGAAAATTATTATAATATTTAATCAAAAGCTTTTAGCAAGCAGTTCATGTTGTTAAGTGCCTTTGGATTTGAAAATTACTTCAAGACAAAATATTGCTGCCGAACAAATCGCAATAAATGTAAATCTCGAGTTCATTACACTAATTACCTGAAATACATTTTTTTTTTTTGTGAATTTGTAATTGAATCTCGTGAAACATAAATTACAATTACATGTATAGTAAAAAAGACGAAATTAAGTTAATAAGATTTGAAAACAACATACATGTACATATACGTATATATATCACTTATTAGTTTTCTCATGTGCTCATTTTTAATGGAATTTTTATCGCTGATATAAGTTTAAATTAAAAAGCAAAAATATGATTATGTCAAGACAGATTTTGTATTAAAGAAAATAAACCGCTAAAGCAAAAAAAAAAAAAAAAAGCACTCTTTATAAATGTAAATGTGATATTGTTATGCCGCTCACCAACGAAGAAAGGGAGCTAACTTATTTTGTCGCTTCGCTTGCAACACAATATATGGATATCACTGCAAATTTCCAGAATATATCGACATTTCAAATTCGTAACAAACAATTTGGGATTACATCTAAAACATAATAAATTGATTGATTTGAGATACCCCTCAGTATCCCACGCAACTAACAACTCAATCATTATTCAAGATTCGCGGTAGCGCAACTCAGTTTTCTTACATGTTTATGATATTTCTTTATAGTTGGAAAACACAATAAAAATATATATCATTAGTAAACCATAAAGTGGTTTATTGCATAATTTAAAACTTATATATATATGCACGCACACACACACACATATATATATATATATATATATGTATACACGTAGAAAAAGACGACAAAACAACACAAGCACACAATAAATAAATAACTTAAGAGACAAAATGCTTACTTAAATAAATGGAACGCAAGTGTGTACGCGACAACTTATACGATAGACAGCCTGGTGCCTCTTATAATAAACGCTTAGGTTTAAACCGTCGAACAAAAAGCAATGGTCGTCAATGTTGCTTTCATATAAAAATAAATTAAAACAAATATCGACCATAAAATATTTTGAATTGTTGTAAAAGAGCGCTAGTTGCTGTTAATAGTATCGCTGCACATTTACAAGCACAATAACAAGGAGTTTTTAAAATTTATTCCATTCTGCAAATAATAATTTTATAAAACAGCAAAAAATTGCTATTTTGATATAATTTTTCAAAAATGTTTTTTCTTACGTTTCTTGGAAGGTGTAATTTTAATTAAAATTTAAATCATGTTTTGACAAAGCTAAACAATATTTTTCAATAAAATTTTTGATCTTATAAATGTTCAATATCAGAGAGCATTGGATACTTTTAACTCAACCACTTAAACGGTAATAAATGAACTGAGGAGATATTCTACTTGTGTACAGATATGCCGCTACTACGTCCGAGAAGTAAGACCAATTTAATCCTTTCTTCTTTAAACCTATTCCGTCCGTTTATTGCGAATAGCTTCGCACAAACGACGCGTAACATGCAAACAACATTTTTTATTAACAGTTTGGCTCGGCGGGAGAAATTGCTAATATAATCGAAAGGAAGAAGTTAAAATTAAGGCAACACTTTGCCGAAGAGAGTAGTGACTGTAATTGAATAGACGGCAAATGTATGTACGGTACAGCATTTGTCAGATACGCAAACCAAGTACAAGAGGTACAAGTTGATAACTTAATCTCTTTAATATATGCAACCAACGAAACAAGCCGGATTATGGATAGGAAACGCCAATGTCCCCTGTCCATGAATAAATTCATGGCACATCTGTTATAAATAATTTATCTAAAACCAGAGAGAAATATTGAAATCAATAGCCGCACCTGTGTCAAAAAGGAATGATTTCATAATTACGATTATAGTCGTGTTTACTTAAAGTTTTCATATTCGAAGTTAATGACTTGACAAACACAATACTAAATACAATCACTCAATAAGTTCATAGGATAATACATTGACGAATCTATACGATTTTTGGGTAGCGCCAACCTTTAAACGAAATCATATGCATTCGTCAATAATGGCGGAGTCTATATGCCATCCTACGAACTTATCGAGTAACATGTTACAACCAACCTCATGCGTAAGCGCACGACGACGAAGTAAACCATTACTAAAAACATTTAGAGGAAAATAAGATGAAGTGTATGCATAAAATTTTGAATAAAACATAAAATATACGAAAATAAACGTGAAAAAGAAACGAACAACTTCAAACATATGTATGGTTTCAAATAAAATGTAAAAACAACGACAAATCACATAAACGAATGGGAACAAATTAGGCTATAAGTGTAGAAAAAGAAACAAAAATAAAGGAGAATAACCGCAAACGTAAAAAACTACACTTGTGTTGCGTAAGATATTTCTGATTTACTGGAAACGAAAAAATGCTATAAACTCTGGGCAAAAACTCGCATTTGAATTGTAAAACTTACTTACCATATATAAGCTGAGCTATCTCTACATAGCATAAAACATTTCTTGCGAAAATGTTAGGCTTCTCTGAATTTGTAGTTCCTCGTGTGTAGTCGTTTAAATAATAAACTACCTCCTACACTTTAAATTGTAAGCTCGTGTTCTTAAATTCAGTGATAGGAATTCAAAATATTTAAATTAAGCGAAAAGTTCATAGTTCAGAGTTTGACTTAGTTTAGCAATGCTATAGCATTTGGGACAGGTGACAGACCACAGACAACATTGGTCAATAGTGAAAATCTTTCCAGCAAGTAAATAGCTATTCCTGGTCTATTTCATCATGGAAAAGCCAAAAACGGCATTGAGATCTTTTAGCTACCGGCTATATGCATATGAACCTGGAATTTTTGTAAACAGATTACGCGTTTATTGTATGAAAATGGTGTCACATAATTTAAGCGAAGCAATAACAGCAGCGTATCCTATCTACGCAAACAATTGGTAGGCGGAAGGCTCGAGCTAGCACCTTCCCAACTGCATGCTTGTGAATGGATGGACGAGTATAATGTAAAAAATTATCTTTTGTCTAATAAAAGATCGCAATCTTCAAATCCCATCATAGAAAGAGCGTTACCTTCTTGGCCTTCCTTCCCAATGCGGATGTTGTGCTCGAACCCACCCATAAGTTATTGTGCCTGGGACTCGCAAAGTAGAACAACTTTTCATCCTCAGTTAGGATACAATGCAAATAAAAAAAAACTCTATATATAACGTTCAAGCAGAGAAAAAATTTGCCATAGAAGTCGACATTTTCATTGTTTGCAAAACTACGTTCTCGTTGCAGTATGCTTATCGTTGCCAGATGTCCAAGCTATAAAAAACATATAACTTCAGAATGTGCTTCTTGGTGGAAAATTCTGGACTGTTATTTAGTTATCTGACAAAAAGAAGTCTGCTTTTACTTGAACTTATTATTAGACAAGAGTCGTCTCTATTGATTCGATGGAGCAAATTCTTCACAAGGTCGCATACAAAGCAGAATGGGCCTTGCAGACTATCAGCCTTTGCTTATTTCTGAAGAAAAATTGACTTTATTGTCATTCCCTATATATGACTTCGCAGGTGTTATTGCCGTCGAACTAAAAATCAAGCTTTCCAAACGTGGGTTTCAAGTAAGGTTCAATGTGTCAAAACCCTTTGAGAAGATAATTGTTGCTAAAATTGTCAAGTCCCACTGATTACCAATCTTTTAGCGACGTAGATGCTCAAAACGCCTACATTTCCACATACGTCAGTTTCTTTTCTGAAAAGAGACTTTCGTTTGTACTAAAAAAATTCTGCCCTTGGTAAAGGGAGTTTTCTCAGACACAGGCCATGCTATGGAAGTGATTGATGGAATTTAAAAATCCAAACAAAAGATTAAAACAAGTTACTATATTTGTTATAATCAGAATTTCAGCAGCAATAAAGTAAACAGGAAAACGTAGTAAATAATGACAAAAAAGGGGAAAAATTCCAGGAGAGTCTTCTCTCACATAAACTTCATTAGGAATTTTCTCAATATCATTAATCTTTGATGGTGTTGTAATTTGCTAGCCATCCTTGCCTCTTGAAGGGAGGTAATATTATTTAAAGATGAATTCAGTAATGGAAGACGCAATAAGAAAGCGTTATCAATCACAGCGAAATCGTAGCCCAAAGCTTGCAACAAATCAATCTAAAAAACATAAAGTAAAATAGTTTCCTCAATGTATTTCAAATTAAGTGTAAATGATTGATTCTTACATGGCACCAACGATCGGTCAAAGACTCTTGGTGAAGCCTTTCATCAACAAAAGGTTCATATTCGTTGGCGCTAACGTACCAAGGAAACCAAAGACCTACGTGTTTTCGCGTCTCCATTATTGACAGCACCCTCGGATATTTCGATGGCTTTAGCCAAGTTTTTATGTAAGGAGTTCTTTCGGATTCCTCGTTTGCACATAATTTATTTTCTTCGCAATATTTCAATAACCCCTCTTTGGTCTCGGGCAGAGCTAGTTTAGGCTTAGGTGCATCAAAAACTGGCAATGTATAGACCCTAGAGGAAAAGAAATGAATCGATGAATATCTCCATGAATTTGATAAATATGAAAACGCTTACGTATTGAAGGGATTATTTAATTGCAGTTTATAAACCATGCTCAGGAATTTTCCAATAAATTTAACACTCGGTAGATAGTTCATATCCAGTGATAAAATATAATAGGTGGATATAGTTTGACGGGCAACATTCCTGGCCATATTCGAGGGATAGGTTAGTTCTACGTTCTGACGATAGGTCTCGTTATGCAAATTATATGGTGAGTTCAAGCAATCCGCAGTTCGCGACAAGAACGCTCTCTCAGATTTTGGAATATTACTCCATATATGATCTTCATGCATAATAAAATGAAATGTAACGAAAGACCGTATTTCATTACCAAAGGGCGTGCATTTAATCAAATGCAAGATAGTATATTGGGCTCGACGAAAGTCATCACCGTTCGCAAACAAGGCAAGGCTTATAGGACCACGCCATCTAAAACGGAAAAATGCTGCAATAGTTTCAATTTTAAAATTGTGTCTACCTTTTGTTCCTTTACCTTTGAGCTAAAACGCCCAGGGTATCCAAATCTTTATATTCACCGTGCAGCGCTAAAGAAACGGAGTCGTTGCCTACATAGAAATTTTTCGCCACAATGTAATTATATAAAATCCAATATTGGCCATTTTGTTGGACGTGAAATTTTGCGCCCCGTTTGTCGATGAAATTCCTTAGGGGAGTAGATTGGCGACGTTTTAAGACAACGCGCTTAAATACCAAATAATCTTCCTCTTGTACGCGCAACAACCAAAACGAAATAATCAAAGAGCATCCCACCAAAGCGCTCAATGCCAGGATAATCAATTTTCTTTCGACCAACTTCATTATTTCAATATTAAATTTTTCTCTTCCTCTCGCTCAAGTAATAAAAGACGTTTGCTTTTCTTTTCTACTTTTTCTACAGATATATTTTTTCTCACACAAGTAAAAAAAAAAAGAGCAAAGCCTGCTCGTTTAACTCATTTTTTTTGAAAACCACTACTGAATTACGTTAGAAAAGGTGTAAACGAAAAGATGTTTGTAAGTCAAGATTAAGGAAAAAATCCCGGAATAATAACCATTGAAGTTATAATTGATTTGAGTTTATTCGGAGGCCAAATATCCAGTTTTAGCATATAAGCAAACAAATCGGCTGGTCATACTCCATTTGTGTGGTATATAAGCGAATTAGCGAAGTGTAAATGAAATAAAATGCGATAGATATAAGCGGACATTGAATATGTTGAAAACATATATGTGAGTTAGGAAGGTGTTTAATGCTATGGTTAAGGTGGCAAAGTGCAAATTTTTAAGGCAAGAAACAAGCCCAGAAAGATGAGCTATTAATAAGTGCACCTCGGTGGCGCCTTAGAAACACAAAATTTTGTTTAAAGAAGAGTCTGAATCGCTGGAGAGCGACCACGGCGAAAATTCGTTCCTTATAGTATATATATCTCTGACTGTGAGCATATATTACGACTACATCGATTTTAAGAGAAGTTTAGACGAGAGGAGTAATTCATTTTTTCCCCCTTTTGTTTTTTTTTTTTTTATTATTTTTGCAAAACTTGGGATAGTATATTTATATAGATATTAATGCAACTCAGCGCCACATGGGCCATATTAAGATTATCTGGCAAACAAACATTTACTTCAGTTCCATGTCTACCAACTTAATCTATATAAGAAGCATTTCAATAAGTACTGTTCTTTTAAAGCTTGGCGTGGATTCTATTCCGAATTATATTCAATTCTATGGTTCTGTGATTTCCAAGTGGCATCTGGACAGTCTCACATGCCAGAATCATGTTTGGTGTTAAAATCATGTTAATTTTGTTGTAATTTAATGGTATACGCTCCTACATTATGCTCATGTTTGTACATGTATATCAACAGCTGCATTTTATGTAGGCCATATACAGGCCGTATTTTTTAAGCCACATCTTTATATAGCGATAGTGTCGAAAACGCCATTAGAAGTGTAAATATATTTTTCAGTGTCTTGTTTTGCTTGTCTTGAAGGGGTTTCAAGTCATTATTAATCTGATAGGCATAAACAATAGACAAAGTGAAGGCGATTTTACATCATCAACATGTTGATAGCTAACATAAACTTTCCGATGAAAATGAACAAAATACACAAACTTTTCGATGAAAACGAACAAAACACACAAACTTTTCATTTCAGAAACATCAAACTTTCTCAAATAATTTATTATATCTCGGTTTAATGATTCAAATCTCAACAATTTCGCTCTCTCACTTATCTTCTTAACTTGTTTTTTCACTCAATAGTATTCTGTAAGAATTTCATATATATTTTTTATTAATAATTGTATTTTCTGATTGATACCTAACGTTGTCAGGCGCACACTTTCTGCATCGATATATATTTAAATATAATTAACACCTCTGTGCAAATAATTGTCTGATAATTATGCTTTATGTGAGTTTTTTATAAAAAAAAAAAAAAAAAGTAGAAAAAAAAATTGCAAATTAAAGGATTCAGAAAACGTAATGTTAAAAAAAAAAAATATTGTTTACAAACAATCAAAAATACAAGAAAGAGAACGAAAAAAACCGGCTAATATCACGCAAGCTAACCTGTAATATTTACTATGTGTTTTACATAGACATGATTGATTGTAGAACGTGTGTTTGGCAAGAAATAATAAAACATCATATCTCCACAACACGCGAATATTTTATATAAATTCAAATCCATATGCATTGCTACTAGGTTTGAAGGTAAGTTTTGACGTTTTTAGAACTTTTGAATCGAACTCGAGACCTTAATAAGCGTACGGAATATATATAGAAACGCGGGATTTGGTATGAAGTAAAGAAAGCTCGCGAAACGAGTCTATTTTCTTCTTTTTTTTTTTTTGCAAAGGTCAAAGGTCAATACAGGAGAGTTAACATTTTTTTTGCGAATTTTACCAACAAATGAGAATAATTTCGCTCGGACCTAATGCTTAACTCTATCCTAGAGTTTTTTATGTGCAATCACGTTTTTGGGTATGAATTTTTTTCATTTCTTTTTTTTTTCTGTTACTGGTGGTGGTGGTGGTGGTATGGTTTGCATAAATAGGCAGGTAATATTGCTTAACAAACTTAGTAAAGCTGGTCTCCGGTCTTAGTGTGTCAGTATGTGAAGTAGTAAAAATAGTAGACCTTACGGAGAAGTTTGAAGATTTAATATGTTATTCATTCGTGTATATATATGTATATGTATATATGTGAACGCTGTTGAATGCTGGTCCTACTGAATTTTGCGCATAAGTTTAGAGTGTGAAAAGTGTTATATTACATGTATGGATGTGCATGTTTGACTGACTATGCTGCACCTTAATGATCTTGTTACTCGCTAAGCGGTTAACCGTTCTTTCCTTCTTGTTTTTTTTTTTTTTTTCTTATTGCAAATGTTTGTTTCCTTTTTGTTGCTTGCAACTCCGCGCTAACACATTCAGCTAAAATATTCAGTAGTAGTAAACTTCAACTACTACTACCGTTTCTTCGTCATAGTTGTTGAATGTATTCTTCCATCAAGCGACTCTTATATTCATTGGTTTCAATTTTCATTTAGATGTTAGTGCTAAATGAATATGCAGACACAAACTGTTATTGTGGTTGCATTATCATCGTATCACGTATACATAAGCGCACTATATTCAAACTAGAGGCAACGTGATTTTAGATATTAACACTTTACTAACAAATCTCAACAAAGCTTATTCTACGGCTTGAATAAGTTGCTTTGAAAGTTTGTATGTCAGTATATTCGTATATAGGGCCCCGTTGTAATATAACTTCAAGATATGTATATATATATATATATAAAAATTTTTTTTTTTTTTTTGCGCTATGTAGGCGTTTTATTAGAGTGCAACAATTTTCTGACCTTTTCATTGGTTCGGCGTCTGCTTTGCCTTAGCAGTTGCAATCATTTTACGTTCGTTGGTCTGTCTATTTGATTTTCGCGAACGAGGTTTCCTTTACATCTAACTAGTGGCTTTAAAGAAGTCTTTTAAAACTATAGTTGATAGTTAGTTTGCGTGTTGTATCATTATATATTAAAATTAATTTCTTAGATCTTAGTTGTATGCAGCTGTCGATGATTTCCAATTGATTTTTAGTCGTTTTCTTGCATATTTTTAGTTTTAATGTTTCTTTTTTCTATTGCTATTTCTATTTTTTTTTTTTTTTTTTTTTTTTTTTTTTTTTTACAAACGGAAATTTTCATGTGTCTTTAATAAGAAAAATTTGTATTGTGTTCAGTCCTTTATATTGTGTTGATGTGCCCACTAAATTTCTAAACAATAATTAGAAAAAGTTTGTAAAAGTGATATGTTTGTCGTTATCTGCAGACACCTACAAAGACGGTGGACATAGAAGTCGTAGTCCGCTAAGGACTATGCAACCGCCCATCAGGCGAACTTGCTAGTCCTTGAAATGGATGAAAATGGTTGAACTTTAATTGACTTGAACTTGCAACATTTAGAAATGTAGTGAGTGAGAGGGTGTAATAGCCAGTGTACAAGTGTTCGGCATAAGCGTCGGCCATGGAGCCACCACTGGCATAGATCTCGGTGGTAGCAGCAAATAATCGAGGGCCCAACAACATTTCGAGTAGAGCATTCATTTTTTTTATTACATATTTGACATCGAACCTGTTTAAAAAGACAATAAGTGAGCGTTGTGGTAAGGTAAGGAAAACAACAGAGTTTATAGTCCCCCGATGAGAACAGTATAACAATGAGATTGTGTTCAAATAATTAGCAAGTAAAAACACTATAAAAGGGCATGGTCCATCACTAAGTTCCTTACAACCACGTACAACGACTTTGTAAAATAAGCCGAATAACCAATTAATTTAAGTAAGGAAACAGCTAAGAGAATTAGTTTCCTTAAATATATCTTAAGGTTAACTTTATCGAGGCATTATAAGTGAGTTCAAAGGAGTGGTTCAAAGTGGTTCATCCGATTGGTAGAAATTATAAAGACAAATAATTTTTGTATCCGTCGACAAAGATTTACATAGTTGTCATAATAAGACGGGAGGGGTAATCTAAAGTATCTAACAATTTCTCAATTGCAATGGAATAACAGCGAACTCTTGAAAATAATCCTATCTTAAGAAATTTTGAAATAACTTTAATAAATTATATAAATAAACAAAGAATAAGAAAAATGACTACTCAAGCGATACATGAACAAACAAAAAGAGAAAAGAAAAAGAAGTAAGTATGTGTATATCTAACATAAGAGACACACTCGCGACCGATGTATGGATTCGAACACGAAGTGTACCACTAAGTGGACGTGAACATTCAAAAACTTGGCAATAAATAGTAGTGAACGTATTAAGTTTATTAGCAAATTATATGAAACATTAAAGATAGAAAGCTAATTTAAGCACATCATCAACTAAACGCGTTAAATCCGCAAAGAGGTGAAATAGGTATTATTTCGATTTTAAATAGCTCCTAATTAAAAAAATAAAAGAAAAAAATTTAATAGAAAAACGGGTGACAAAAGCCAGTCATACCATCCTATAATCAAATACAAAACCTGTCAGAATTTGCTGTAGGAAGAGAAAAACGAAATTGAAGTTACTTTCGTCAATCGAATCTTCATCTTTTCTCGCGAAAAATTGAGAATGCACTCTAGCTAATCAAAGGAGAATGACAATATGAAATATATATATGAACAACTTTGCTTCCGGTGTTTTGCGGGAAATGGCGGTAGCGGCAGGTGGTCGTAAAGAAGTAAACATGCGTAGGCCTCATACAACATAAACTTGGCCATTTGTCAATCTAACCCCATCGAAACATTAATCGATTTGT